CGTTCACCTAATCTGACCCAGTCAATGGGATATTTTAGCGCGCCAATCAATGGTCTCGGCTACACTGTTTTGCACATGATTCTATGTGCAAAAGGTATGAAGCATCAAGAGATTCTACCTATACTGAAATATAAAACTTCATACGAATAGTTTAGCACCCCTATGTCTCGCATTCTGCTATTTTGTGGAAAGACAAAAATTGTGCCAAATACATTTGTATGTATACTAAGTCACAGTGCTATCACAATAAAACAATTCGTGTGTTTTTCATGTTTTGATATACGAAATACAATAAGTCAAATCATATTGGCATTTGTTTCTATTAAACTGTTTGCAAAGGAAATTGATTAGATTTGTATAGTTTTCCTAACGTACAGTGGCGAATATTTCATTCCTACTAGTATTCTAAAGGAAAAGAAACGTTCTTTAACGTGCAGAGAAAGAGAGAGTGACTTTTTTTTACAAAGCGATTCGTTTGAAGGCAACAACCGTTTAACTTTAAGGAGACCGGGTAATATTTTTATTTCATTTTTATTTATTGGAAAATTTTTGTTTTTACAGATGGACACATTTATATTCTTTTTTTAAAAACAAAGTAAATCATTGCTTTCTTACTTAGCATATTAAACAGAATATTTTTTTAGCACATGATACTATGAATTAAAAATGTGTGTGTACTCCTATGAAATCACAAGCCGTATAAATAAAAATTTAACTGGTAAAGATATACATGTAGTTGAATATCCAAATTAGGGGTGTATGAGGGTCCAAAAAAAGAGGTTTAATTGTCCAAAATGGTAAACAAATTACAATTTTAAGCAAAAACATGTATTTTTTTCTGACAATTAGGGTACACCCTCAACAAACCACCTCCCCTGAATCTGCCACTGGACGTTTGGTGGATGTACATGCATTATGTATATTTATTAAAAGAATAATGCTTTGAATGTTGCTCTCCATCTTAATGAAAGGTCAAGTATGGACTGAAAAAACAAAATAAAATCTGTTTCAAACCAAAGCAAGTTAGGTATGTAAATATGGTCATTTATGGTCTAAAGAATTTCTTATAATGCTTAGGATTTTTCGTTCAACTGTTGAATTATTCATTTCGAAGGCCCATGCAGGTGAGCTTACCCCCATCACTTAGCGTCCATCTTCTGTCATCGACCGTCGTCGGCGTCAGTCGTCCGTTCAATTTTAAAAAGACCGTCTCCTTTAAAACTATGTTATACATCAAATTTAAGAGTTTGAGTCAATTCGAAGTGTATGAATTTAGAGCAAAAGTCGTTTGTGTCTAAAATACATGATTTTGTTTATCATTTGTTATTATTGACTTTGACCTGGCTTTCAGTAACTGCGAGTAGTCTCAGAGATGTATACTAAGTTTTTTTTTGTTATGGGATGAATAAGTACCCTGCCACGTCCCGTCCGGTCTGTGTTTTTGTTAAATGTATTTCTGCTTTGTATCAATCTGATGAGTTAAGCCCTTTTCAACTGATTTTTTATAATTCTTTCTAATGTTGTTTTGTCATGTCTGTTACACCACTGTTCCATGTTAGGGGTGGGTTGGCGCCTTCAAACTAGTTAAACCCCGCCACATTCTGTGTGTGCCTGTCCCAAATCAGGAAGGAGCCTGTAATTCAGTGGTTGTCGTTGGGTCATGTATATCATATTCGTTTTCCGTTCAATATTTTTGTACCAGGATATTGACGAAAAAGCAAAAGCAGATAATATATTTAGTAAAACAAAGGGGGCAGTTTTTAATGTATCTTGAGCAAATACTAGAAAAATTGGAGAAGGATAAAAGTTATATAATAAAACTGTTGTTGACGTTTGATTTCAGTTGATACACAGATTTCTCTAATTCTTAGCTTATATTTATCGTTTTCCTAACCTGTTGATTATTTTTATTTCTCTAATTTTTACACGATTTATCCTTTTCCCGACATGTTGATTATTTTTATTTAATCAACGTGTGGTTCGTTTTATCTCAGTTCTTCATTGGTCAAAATTCGATTATGACGTCGAATTTTCATGCTTTCCTCTGAATTTCCTATTGTGACGGCATGAAAAAAGGCGACCATGCCTGATGACGTCACATAGAAAGAACACATCTTTTTGCAGATCATTTGAAAAGAAGGAAACGTTTGCCTACATATTGTTTTAAAATCATTAGAGAAACAGATTCCACCACCAAATCTCGTGTAATACGATATTTATCCACTCTCGACAGTTAAATTTTAAATATTTGAAAATTTAACTGTCTCGAGTGGATAAATATCGTATCACACTCGATGCAATGGTAGAATCTATATTTAATCAACGTGTGGTTCGTTTGATCCCAGCTATTCATTGGTCGAAATTCGATTATGACGTCAAATTTTCTTGCTTTCTTCTGAATTTCCTATTGTGACGTCATGAAAAAAGGCGACCATGCCTGATGACGTCAAAAAAAAAAACACATTTTAAATAAGTTTGCCTGCATACTGCATAAAAATCATTCGAGAAACTGATTCCACCCCAAAATATCGTGTAATACGATATTTATCCACTCTCGACAGTTAAATTTTAAATATTTAAAACGCTCGGGCAAGCCTCGCTTTTTAAATTTGAAAATTTTCAAAACTGTCTCGAGTGGATAAATATCGTATCACACTCGATGCAGTGGTAGAATCTATATTTATCAACCTCATCAAAAGACAATAATTGTATAATGCTTATCAACCTCGCATCGGATAAGCAGCATTGCCCGGAAAAAAAACTGTATGGCGGATATAAACAACGTGATCACGTCATTTTTCTTCCAAATTTGTGGTTCGTAAGATATCAACTTGTTTGTATTCGGCACAAAACAGTTGAACAACTTGGTCAACCTCGCCCTTCGACAGTTTTTAAGCCTCATGCATAAAAGTTGATATTTTTCTGACAGTGACCGAATATTGCATATTTCTACATTTGTTTGTCCATTGGTCAATATTATGTTAGTGTTGTTGAGGTTTAAAAAGCTAGTTCAATCCCGTTAACTGTTTAAAAGCTCGCAATTAGTTGTCTTTTGTCATTTGTACATGTAAATGTGTAGTTTTGGTTTTGATTGCAGGTACTTAATAGTCTGTGTTAAATTTATATGAATTAACTGGAATTATGATTGATTGTATAGACTCCTCTTAACCGTATGTTGGTATCAATGTGTCTTTCGTTGTTCGTGTCATTGGGTTGCTGTCTTATTTTCATTTTCATACCCCATACCCCACTCATATAAACAGTATATGTACATTGTCGGAAAATATAAGAATTATTTAAACTAACTTTATGAAACAGGAGAGAACGCGAGACTTACCGAGCCTTTCTGATGCTTCGTTTTAGTACACCAATAAATTTGATAATTTCTAACTATGTACATGTAGTGTTTTTATCCTGCAATTACACACTTTCGCCCAACGTTTAAGTTTTATATGGTATCCCTTGCACCTAAAATAAGCGAAGAATCAAATTTAGATATAACAGAATAAGCATGAAAACATAGATATTTTTGTGTTTTCAAACGATTAATTATAAACCTGTTTTAGAGAGAAAAAAATTAGGAATAATGTTTTGAAAAATTCAAAAATATAACATTACAAAATTTACATAACTTGAATAATATTCAATAGTATTCTTTAAGTCATATAGTAAGTTCTATTCAATGAAGCAAGTTAAATAAAAAGTAGACAACTTATAACAAATTTTTGAAGCAGTGATCATGATTTGGAAATAAAAAGAGCCTGGGGCCAGTTTCACAAAGCTTTCTTAGGACTAAGACATGTTTTAGGATGGTCTTACGACATATCTTAGTCCTAAGTGGGTTTCACAAAGTGGTCCTAAATTAGGACATCTCTTAAAGTTGGTCATAAAGTTAGGACTACACGAGAGGTGTCTTAGGATAGTCATAAGTTTATTTATATAAATAACACGCAGTTTTTATATTGATTTTGAACAGATATATCATGTTAAGGAGGGGTATTTGCGAAAAATACCAGTCGAGAGAATGTTAAATTTCGCGAGCCGTAAGGCGAGGGAAATTCATTCTCAAGACTGGTATTTTTCTCAAATACCCCTCAGGAATATGCTATATCTGTTTAATTACACCGAATGTTAACGTTCAAAAACGCATTGATGATCGTGACGTTACAAGCGTCCAGTCGGACAGAGTATTTTTTGGCAAATACCACGGCAGAGAGGGTAAAAAAGGCATATCCTTTTTGCATATACATTGTACCCCGGCGGCGTTAAAAAATGAACGATATTCATTTGATAACAGTAAATTGGTGAAAAATACACTGGTATCAACCAATCAAAACCCAGGATTCTTACATAAGGTGTAATTATGCAAATTATCTAATTCCTATCCAATTATCTATTCTCCATGTCCTGCTCACAACTAAATCTTTATTGGTTGAGGGATTTCTATCATGACTTGTCAACAATGAACATTCGATGTATTGGTATCGAGAGTGCACGATTTTATTCATTTACCTTATTATTTTAAACCGATACAGGGACAAATTGAATTCAACTCACTTGTACAAAAAAATGTTATAATTTTATTACCTTTTCTCAATTTTGTATTTTAAGTTCATATGTATATTAGTAAATTATTAATAGACTATTTATATAAATTACACTTATTCTTTATTTTTTTTGAATTTAAAGAAGTTGCGACATGTTTAGGATATCTTTGCTAAGATCATCCTAAGACAGCTTCGAGACGAGGTCTGCGATATGTCATAGGATAGTCATAAGAGGGTCATAAGACGTGTCCTAAGATATGTCTTATGACAGGTCTTATGATAGCTTCGTGAAACCGGCCCCTGGTCGTTTCAGGAATATTCCAAGACAAAACAGACTATATAACTTGAATTGTATAATAACTGTCAACAAATTGATGGTAAATATATATTTTTTTATTTATCATGTTTATTGCAATAGTAAAAATCCTTTACAAACTATTTTGTTTAACAGGATTAAAAAGATGTATATTTAATGAGAAGTAAATGTACAAGGGGTATATCAAGAGGTCGTAAAGTACATATACCTCCGCTAGCAAATGGTTAGGATATAGATTCCAGGCTAAAACGGACTTGTTACATTTGAGTTAAACTTTTCAGTAGACTTTTAGTGCTGTATTTGAATCATGTTAATGGACATGATATTTTTTGTATTATGCTGTCTTGATTCTATTAAAATTTATTTATATACTATTAATTAATTGATGTCGCTAATAATCATTGACAATTAAAATTTTCGTTAAAATGGGCATTGATAATTTCACTTTTTGTTAAAATGGATTAAACATCATGCGCTAAATTGGGTTATACTTTGGAGCTAAAACGTCACCCATGATTTTTTCGCTAAAATGTCCTATTAACATGATTTATGCGCTAAAATGTTCTCTACCGGTATGAACGTAATTATCCAATAGACTTATGAAAGCGACAAGGGAAGAGAAAAAAAATAATAAGTCAGCGTCATCTTTCATTTGCTAAAAAAAAAGATGTTTGGCAAAAAAGGGGGTGCAAAACACAGTTTTTCCTGACTCCCCTAATTTTGGAGCCATAATTGCAGTTAATATAACATCTTTCTTGACAAGTATTTCATCCGATAAGAAATGCCTCATTGTATCTCTTAATCCATGTGTATGAACCATATGGTTTTACTAGCTGTCTAAACGGTGATTGTAATCTATAATAGTGTGTGTCTCCCGCCAAATACAGCACACGGTTTGTTTGTGAAACCTTTACACAGCATTATACTCTTGGAATTCTGAATGGAGGTACGTATAAAAATATACTATTTTTAGCATTCAAATTCATGAAGATAGTATTTTGATAGTTTTTTGTTAACTATTTAATATTCTCATACATGTTTTAAAGTTTTGATAAGTATTAATTGAATAAATGAATAAGTACAAAATGAAATAATTATATATCAATATCAGTGTGTCTTGTACAGAACAACAACACTACTAATATAACATGTATAATAATATTAATACTATTTCTGATAATAACAAAAAAAAAGACGATGGTGATTAACCAGACTCAAGCTAGCGAACACTAAGCCAGCGAACAATAAGATGCATCAAGCTAGCGAACAATAAGCCAGCGAACAATAAGAAAACGCGCCAACATGATCATGCCTAAAAACCGAAGACTTGCAATAACACAAAACGTCCTTTTAATTCTAATGACAATAATTTCCAGTAGGAGAACGAAATGCAATTCCATTCTAACACAGACAAAGTTAATTAGTTATTCGTGTATCTAATACAACTTTTTTTTAACCGGACATCTAAAATTCCTATTAGGTAATCCTTTCTCTTTTTAGTGCTCTCTGATTAGAGATGGGTTTGTTGTTTTTATAATAATGAAACAATTAATAACAATAGTTCACACTAAACTAGTGTACATGTAACGATACAAATAAATCTTCTACTTTACATATGCGTTTGAAAAGAAAAGAAAAATAAATCGACTGATTTTGGAACGTCCAGTATTTTTTGTTAGATTTTCCTTAGAAATAAAAGCATTATACGCAGTTTTCTTCTTTTGTCAAAGAACTAGTTCATTTTTCTAATTATTCAAAAGTATGTCGTCACTCTGGTAACGTATTTACTATATTTCGATAGGAAGAGTGATAAGTGTAAGAGTGGCACCCAAATAGAACGAGAAACGAATTGACATAAAGATTTTGGTCCAAAGTTGAGGTAGGGTGACCCTACCACCACCCAATTTTAATTCATAAAAAAGTCCCTACGGCAAAGCTTTTGTCCACACTAGGTACAAATGATAGGCAATTGCCTAAGGTTGCCTGGACTCAAAGACCCAAGTGGGTAAAGTTACGGAATGTTTTTAATTGAGGTCCAAAGTTGGGGTAGGGTGACCCCACCCCCACCCAATTTTAATTCATAAAAAAGTCCCTACGGCAAAACTTTTGTCCAAACTAGGAACAAATGATAGGCAATTGCCTAAGGTTGCCTGGACCCAAAGACTCAGGTGGGTAAAGTTACGGAACTTTTATAATTGAGGACTAAAGTTGGGGTAGCGTGACCCTACCACACCCCAATTTTAATTCATAAAAAAGTCCCTACGGCAAAACTTTTGTCCACACTAGGTACAGATGATATACAATTGCCTAAGTTTGCCTGGACCCAAAGACCCAGGTGACTAAAGTTACGGAACTTTTTTAATTGAGGTCCAAAGTTTGGGTAGGGTGACCCTACCCCCACCCAATTTTAATTCATAAAAAAGTTCCTACGGCAAATCTTTTGTCCACACTAGGTACAAATGATAGGCAATTGCCTAAGGTTGCCTGGACCCAAAGACTCAGGTGGGTAAAGTTACGGAACTTTTTAAATTGAGGTCCAAAGTTGGGGTAGGGTGACCTTACCACCACCCAATTTTAATGCATAAAAAAGTCCCTTCGGCAAAGCTTTTGTCCACACTAGGTGCAAATGATAGGCAATTGCCTAAGGTTGCCTTGACCCAAAGACCCAGGTGGGTAAAGTTACGGAACTTTTTAAATTGAGGTCCAAAGTTGGGGTAGGATGACCCTACCACCTACTAATTTTAATTCATTAAAAAGTCCCTACGGCAAAGTTTTTGTCCACACTAGCTATAAATGATAGGCAATTGCCTAAGGTTGCCTGGACCAAAAGACCCAGGTGGGTAAAGTTACGGAACTTTTATAATTGAGGTCCAATGTTGGGATATGGTAAGCCAACCCCCTCCCTTCTTTAATTCATAAAAAATTTCCTCCGGCAAAGCTTTTGTCCACGCTAGGTACAAATGATAGGCAATTGCCTAGGGTTGCCTGTACTTAAAGACCCAGGTGGGTAAAGTTACGGAACTATTGTAATTGAGGTCCAAAGTTAAGGTAGGGTGACCCAACCCCCTCCCTTCTTTAATCCATAAAAAAGTCCCTACGGCAAAGCTTTTGTCTACACTAGGTATAAATAATAGGCAATTGCCTAAGATTGCCTGGACCCAAAGACCCAGGTGGGTAAAGTTACGGAACTTTTATAATTGAGGTCCAAAGTTGGGATATGGTGACCCAACCCCCTCCCTTCTTTAATTCATAAAAGATTTCCTACGGCAAAGTTTTTGTCCACGCTAGGTACAAATGATAGGCAATTGCCTAAGGTTGCCTGAACTTAAAGACCCAGGTGGGTAAAGTTACGGAACTATTGTGACCCAACCCCCTCCCTTCTTTAATTCATAAAAATGTTCCAACGGCAAAGCTTTTGTCCATACTAGGTACAAATGATAGGCAATTGCCTAAGGTTGCCTGGACCCAAATACCCAGGTGGGTAAAGTTACGGAATTTTTGTAAATGAGGTCCAAAGTTGGGGTAGGGTGACCCAACCCCCTCTCTTCTTTAATTCATTAAAAAGTCCCTACGGCAAAGCTTTTGTCCACACAAGGTACAAATGATAGGCAATGCAATTGCCTAAGGTTGCCTGGACCCAAAGACCCAGGTGGGTAAAGTTACGGAACTTTTTTAATTGAGGTCCAAAGTTGGGATAGGGTGACCCTACCACCACCCAATTTTAATTTATAAAAAAGTCCCTACGGCAAAGCTTTTGACCACACTAGGAACAAATGATAGGCAATTGCCTAAGGTTGCCTGGACCCAAAGACCCAGGTGGATAAAGTTAGAGAACTTTTTTAATTGAGGTCCAAAGTTTGAGTAGGGTGACTCTTCCCCCCCTACTTCAATTCATAAAAAAAGTCACTACGGCAAAACTTTTGTCAACACTAGGTTCAAATGATAGGCAATTGCCTAAGGTTGCCTGGACCCAAAGACCCAGGTGGGTAAAGTTACGGAACTTTTTTAATTGAGGTCCAAAGTTGGGGTAGGGTGACCCTACCACCTACCAATTTTAATTCATAAAAACGTCCCTACGGCAAAACTTTTGTCCACACTAGGTACAAATGATAGGCAATTGTCTAAGGTTGTCTGGACCCAAAGACCCAGGTGGGTAAAGTTACGGAACTTTTATAATTGAGGTCCAAAGTTATGGTAGCGTGACCCTACCACACCCCAATTTTAATTCATAAAAAAGTCCCTACGGCAAAACGTTTGTCCACACTAGGTACAGATGATATACAATTGCCTAAGTTTGCCTGGACCCAAAGACCCAGGTGACTAAAGTTACGGAACTTTTTGAATTGAGGTCCAAAGTTTGGGTAGGGTGACCCTACCCCCACCTAATTTTAATTCATAAAAAAGTTCCTACGGCAAATCTTTTGTCCACACTAAGTACAAATGATAGGCAATTGCCTAAGGTTGCTTGGACCCAAAGACCGAGGTGGGTAAAGTTACGGAACTTTTTAAATTGAGGTCCAAAGTTGGGGTAGGATGACTCTACCCCCACCTAATTTTAATTCATAAAAAAGTTCCTACGGTAAATCTTTTGTCCACACTAGGTACAAATGATAGGCAATTGCCTAAATTTGCTTGGACCCAAAGACCGAGGTGGGTAAAGTTACGGAACTTTTTAAATTGAGGTCCAAAGTTGGGGTAGGATGACCCAACCTCCTCCCTTCTTTAATTCATTAAAAATTTCCTACGGCAAAACTTTTGTCCACGCTAGGTACAAATGATAGGCAATCGCCTAAGGTTGCCTGAACCCAAAGACCCAGGTGGGTAAAGTTACGGAACTTTTTTAATTGAGGTCCAAAGTTGGGGTAGGGTGATCCTACCACCACCCAATTTTGATTCATAAAGAAGTCCCTACGGCAAAGCTTTTGTCCACACTAGGTACAAATGATAGGCAATTGCCTAAGGTTGCCTGGACCCAAAGACCCAGGTGGGTAAAGTTAGAGAACTTTTTCAATTGAGGTCCAAGTTGGGTTAGGGTGAACAAACCCCCACCAAATTTTAATTCATAAAAAAGTCCCTACGGCAAAGCTTTTGTCTACACTAGGTACAAATGATAGGCAATTGCCTAAGGTTGCCTAGACCCAAAGACCCAGGTGGGTAAAGTTACGGAACTTTTATAATTGAGGTCCAAAGTTATGGTAGCGTGACCCTACCACACCCCAATTTTAATTCATAAAAAAGTCCCTACGGCAAAACGTTTGTCCACACTAGGTACAGATGATATACAATTGCCTAAGTTTGCCTGGACCCAAAGACCCAGGTGACTAAAGTTACGGAACTTTTTGAATTGAGGTCCAAAGTTTGGGTAGGGTGACCCTACCCCCACCTAATTTTAATTCATAAAAAAGTTCCTACGGCAAATCTTTTGTCCACACTAGGTACAAATGATAGGCAATTGCCTAAGGTTGCTTGGACCCAAAGACCGAGGTGGGTAAAGTTACGGAACTTTTTAAATTGAGGTCCAAAGTTGGGGTATGATGACCCTACCCCCACCTAATTTTAATTCATTAAAAAGTTCCTACGGCAAATCTTTTGTCCACACTAGGTACAAATGATAGGCAATTGCCTAAGTTTGCTTGGACCCAAAGACCGAGGTGGGTAAAGTTACGGAACTTTTTAAATTGAGGTCCAAAGTTGGGGTAGGATGACCCAACCTCCTCCCTTCTTTAATTCATTAAAAATTTCCTACGGCAAAACTTTTGTCCACGCTAGGTACAAATGATAGGCAATCGCCTAAGGTTGCCTGAACCCAAAGACCCAGGTGGGTAAAGTTACGGAACTTTTTTAATTGAGGTCCAAAGTTGGGATAGGGTGACCCTACCACCACCCAATTTTAATTTATAAAAAAGTCCCTACGGCAAAGCTTTTGACCACACTAGGAACAAATGA